CACTCACTCACTCACGCTGAACCACGTATCGAGCATTTTGATTGCTGTATGTGCTTAAAAGGATACATTATGTGGCTGCATGGCAGTTGCTAAACAAATTACCTTCAGGCTGCACGAGTCTACGAAATACCCAAGTTGCTCTGTCATGCTGTTCGTAATGCATAAGTGACTACTTTATCGAAGAACAGTGACAGAAATACTGAGCTTTAAGTAAGTGAATATTCACTAAACCCAGATATAGTCGGTCTAATGTGTGAAATCCTGTTCACAGGCTCACGGCGAAGCTAGAAGAATACAATGTGACAAGAATATGTAAAGAGAAGCTACAAAACTCTTTCCACATTTATAAGAAATATCGACTTATACACTTGTATGTATATCATGAGCATATGCTTGTTTCAGCAGTATTATAGCTGAACGATGTTGTTTGCAAACAAATCGAGTCTGGACCAGACCATCCAGTGACTGTCACCATGCCATACGATAACAGTAAACGCATCCGGTATGTATCTACAAATCTATTATGAATGTTGCGAGTATGATCCAAGCAATCAGGTTTTCATTCATATCATACAGATAACGCCCTTGAATTGGTTACCTTACGCAAGTATAAATACTTATCCTAAAACATACTTACAAAGAAGTGTCACAGGGGAGACATCTGGCATGCGAAGGAAGTGGACAGCAACATCGGACACGCGCGCTACAAAGGATGTATAGGCATTATATACTTGAACACACTAGGTTGCTCAAATAGAGACTGAGGTGGTGTAGAGGTGAGGAATAATGTTCATGTCGACCTTAACCCATTTCTGTTACGTGCTGTGTCAACACAGTGTTCAATGGAAGTTATTGGGAGTAAAGTGGGAATGATCGCAACCGTTTACCGCATAGCTGAGGCAAACATAATACGAGCAAACTATCAGCTTAGATCATGCCATGTTCTAGGTGTCCAAACTCCACTCATACAGGTTAGGCAATCTGCAGTTTTATGGGTTGGCAGTAGTGAGAGCATCTCAACAGAACAGAAAGTTCCACAGTGGCGATGACTTTTTATTTTATCATGTCGGAATATGAATTCATGGCGGGTGGGGCAATCATACCCAACATACGGACAGCTTAACATATATCATAATCAATTGTATTCTTGAAATCTATGTTTGCAGAGTTGAAGTCAAGCTTACCTAGAGATTCCATCGTTGACGTCAGCTCTTTGATCTGTTGATCGCGACTCTTTAAAGCCTGAATGAGGAATGAGATGTAGGAATCGGCACTCCATCTGATGACTTCAGGTTTTCAAGTGGGACGACTTTGTGAGATCGAGTTATCTTCATGTCCTCATGACCTGCTTGGCAGTGCTCACACAAGAGGGCTTCACATTCATCACACCAGGACATGGCTTGGTTACCGTCATTCTTGTTGGTACACAGCACGGCGGAACCATCAGTTTGGAGGAAGATATCTTTGTTTGCAACGACATCGGTAGGAAAATCAGTTTGTTCTTTGTCGAATGTTTCCTGACAGATGTCACAGGTCGGAGTATCAGAGGTGCCAAGATTTAGACATTCCTGACACACTGAATGGAGACAGGGCATGAGGCGGGGGTTGGAGCCGCCATATGTGAAAGAGGTGCCACACAAACTACACTGGGGTAGCTTCATTGCGGTCGCCATTTCTCTGTTTTGGTGTCATGCAGTCGTAGCAGCGCAGTCCTGAAAATATACAAACTTTTGCATCCTTACATTCAAAACTCTGCCCTTAGTAGTAAATTGTATGTGTATTCTAATATCATATCATATTGTGTTGATCGATGTCAAACGAGCATCCTGACTGGATATTTTTCACGTGTTTATACTGCTCATATACTGAATCTAAAAAAGAAGAAGTTATACTATTATATTGTTGTGTTTATATTGGCCTTGCAATAGGTCCTTTCAGCCGATCAAGGGCCAATAGCAACGCACCTTGACGTGTAACATGGTTCATATGAAAACACACATTTAATGATACATCAATAATTGAGTGTTGATTGAAACTATATATTACGTTCCAAAGCATTAATTGACCAGCTAAACTATGTTTCCTTTCCAAGCATTAACTGACCACCTAAAATAAAGATTTCCGAAGATGGATTGATTTCCAAAATTGTAAATTTCAAACAGAACAGTATCCACGTATCCATGAAGTGCGGTGACAGTAGTTGCGGTGACAGTGTAAAGAATGCAGCCACACATAAAGCCCCGCTATACTTGTCTTGGTCTCCATGCCCGTGTACAATATGGGGCCATTGTATGGAACGTAATCGTCGTAATCTCGAAGCTGAAACGTAGGGCGGCATGAGCGAACAATACTTGCACGTATAACTGAGTTCTGAGTTGTGAGGAAACTTAAACAGGTTAATGCATAACATGTTTGAAGTAGGGCTGGGACGGGCAACCCGGATACGCGGGACGGGTGGGTAATGAGTTGGACTCGAGTACCCATCTCAATACCCAGACCCGTTATGATCATGTGACTAATAGATTAAACAATGTAATATGTTATTCTTTCATGATAAAAAAGGTTGTATTGTCATTGAAGATTTAGACATTATTTACAGTCACCTGTTTGGAATATTACACATGATTAAGATATTGGAAAACCTCAAAATTTTAGCCTCCGAGCTGAAGAATATATTGCTATTTCTTGCACATTTGATGTCAGGAATTAACATAACGGGTATCGGGGTAGGGTAATAGGGGTGATATACCCGGGTAGAACATTTGGACCCGTCCCAGCCCTAGTTTGTAGGTACTATATATGCTGTAACCCAAAGGCCAAACAGTATTTTAAAAAGCACCATGCGAAACGTAATATACGTGAGTGCAACACAAACAACTAACATCTGTACAATATGTGTGTCTCAAGATAACATGCAACTCACTTGCAATGAGCATCGGTTCTTTTTCTGTCTTCATTTTACGACTGATCATTATGTCATTTAATATCTACACTAAGACGGCCGTCACTATTCCAATTAAATAAAAGGGGCCAATAAACAGCCATTCAAGAACTGAGTTGCACAATTTTTGCATTAGGTTGATCCTAAACTGGCGTTCAAAAGAAAGTACACAGGCAAAGATTTGGTCAAATAGCACAAAATTAACAATTGTTTAAAAGATAATTTCATGTGTTTATTGAGGCACATAGTCAAACAGAACTCCTCACAATAAAATGAAACTTTAAACGTGAACAGTATTGCCTTATGGTACTGTCAAACATGCACGGGGTCCAAATGACACATTTCATTATTGCAGATGAAAAGTTCAATGTTGATTACCAGACACCCAAATGTCACAAAACAGGTATCACATTCAGTATCTTGTATGGCCTCCACGGGCATCAATGCAAGCCTGTACTCGTCTCCTCATGGAAAACGTAAGTCGCCTGATGACGTCATTTGGCATTCTTGCCCATTCCTCATGGAGAGCATTTTCAAGCTGTCGTACATTAACGGGCTGCTGTTGCCGAAGTCGGAGTTGTCTTCCGAGATGGTCCCATAGATGTTCAATCGGGTTGAGGTCAGGTGAACGCGCGGGCCATGGCAATACATTAATATTATGGTGTTGGAGAAAGTCTGTGGTGATCCTGGATGTGGGGTCTGGCGTTATCATGCTGGAAAAGAATTCAGTAGGCAGTACAACAGGTCGCAACACCTCATCACAGTATCGCTGGGCATTCAGATTGCCATGAATTGTCACTAAACGTGTCTTCTGATCACCACAAATTGCTCCCCAGACCATAACACCACCACCACCAAAGGGGTAAACATCTTGTATACAGTTTGGTGCCAACCGTTCTCCCCGACGCCGATACACCCTAATTCTACCGTCAGCATGAAACAGATTGAATCTGCTCTCATCACTGAAGAGGACACGTACCCAGTTACGACGTTGCCCCCGATGCACAGTCCTTGTCCACTGTAAACGGTTCCTACGATGTAGAGGTGTCAAGGACATGCCACGGAAAGGTCGATAGACCCAGATACCAGCAGCACGGAGTCGCCTCATCACTGTGTACCTGCTGATGCGGTGACCTAATGCTGTCGCTGCTGATGACGTTGCCATCAACATTCGATTGCGTAAATGGATTATCCGCAGGTGCTGGTCATCTTGTGGTGTCGTGACTCTCGGACGTCCAGTTCGGGGTCGGTCAGCTGTCTGGCCTGTCTGTTGAACACGTCTGAACAGTCTGATTATGGTTTGTCTTGTGCACTGGAAGGTCCTTGCAATATGACTGTTGGACGCCCCCATCTGTGACATACCAATGGCTCTCTCTCTTTGCGCTGGTGTAAGTCTTGGCATTTTCTTCATGTGTTTATTGTCGTCTGCCATATCAGCATTGGGATGAGTGTCTTTTATACCCGTTGACAAGTTGATTGCATGTGCAAGAGGGAATAGTCACAATTTCCACAAATCTCGTGTTGCACGTGCAGCCACACATATGGCTGCATTTTGAACATTTTACCCCTATAGTTGCGTTTGTGAGATCTATTTTCAGTGCAAATCTTGATGAATTGAAACGAGCTTCATGTATGGTGAACAAAAGTTTAGGTGTGTACTTTCTTTTGAACGTCACTTTATATATCAAAAGGTTTGCATTCCTTTCATTTATCATTTCTGTGTGCTTTTGTGCAACACCCGTGAGGCCGACATGGTTGAATGTACAGTTGCTAAGAAAGGTATTTACATGTAAACCAACCATATTGGGCAGGGTAGAATGTCGTGTCGTTATGTGTGGCGTGGCTTGATAACGAAAGTAGCACTGCATATTTGTGCCTTGACACGAATGCATAGACGTATGTTTTATGTCACAATGTACCAGTTAAGATGCGCGTTGCTAATGCTGACGATTTGACGTATAAAAGCATTGTAAACGCAGTTATTTTTTTATACAGAACAGTTTTCCTATATCAGCATATACTGTTAGGATATAACAGACAATTCACATAGAGCACCTACCTGACATGGGACACTTTTAGCGGTAGCTGCGTTACCTCCGGATCCAGGTTGTTAGGTGGGATCAGGTTATATAAATATATGCATATGCACTGACGCATGCCAGTCACTTTGTCGATAGCACAGGTAACAAAGGGTCGAAAGAGAAAGAGGCACAACGAATCGGGTATTTGGGAGAGAGGGAATGGAGAGACGAGAGAACGGGAAGATAGGGAAATGGACGGAAAAGTTGATAGAGGGGAAGACAGGGGAAGGGAAAGACGGAGGAATGAAAGCGAGAGAGATAGGGAGAGGAAGAGAGGGCCTGTGTCAGAGATGCGATTTGGGAAACTCGGGGTGTTGTGTGTGTTGTAGGGTTGGGTTCCACATATTATCCGTGAAGGCCAGGGATTACTAGTCTTAGCAATGTCATCCAATGACAGCTGTCACATGTCTCTATCTAGCCAGAGTGGTTCCCGGGGACTGCTGCACTTTGGCACTGACACCCGGCAGGTACTGCCCAATGGCGGCTGTTTCTCACGCCAAACAAACTTTGCCGACAAGGCAGTTGAACATGGGGAAACGCCTGAACGGGTGTAATTATATCTAAACATTTTCATTTCATTCATAGACAGACAGATAATTAATTGTCTTATTGCATTATGATATTTTTTATAAATAAATGTAAACATTTAGAAGCTATGATTATTGTTTCAACCTGGTTTTTTTTAACTTTGATAGTGTTTGAATAGATAACAATAAAATTTAATGGCAAAGCCAAGCCCCACTCCTTGCATCTAAAAGGCTACGTGATTATATTGTTAACTCTGTACGTCTCACCTTGCCTTGTGTATTAATATTTTTTGTATATGTTATATTTATACCTATTCACTCTGTGCATAGACTCAGCATTCACCTGATGAAGGAGCAAGGACCAGCTCTGAAACGTCATGTAAAAGAAGTAAAAAAGAAGTTGTTATCCGTAAAACGAGCCACGTTTGTCCAACTTCGAAAAGACTTCCAAGGACTTCATTTCAGAGTGTTTGTAAATATACTGGGGGTGAATTTAATCATAACAAACAGGTCTGAAATCCTGACCCTAGTCCAAGATACAATGAGCCTCGTCTATAACAAACTTAAGAATGATTAGTTGATAAATTTTTGTACCCTGATTACTTATTTATTCCATAAGGGCAAAAGCGATTGCATCATCACGTGAAAAGGAAGACATACACGCATATTTAAACAGTGTATGTCTTTGTACAAAGTATTTTGTGTATTTGAATGCATAATTTTTGACTGTGCAAGGGTGAGCCACAGTCTAATGACTGACCGATCGAATTAGTTAGTTTATGCGGTATCTGATAGAGCTTATACATGCCCAAAGAAAATGATATTGCATAACAACATTTTTAATTGATATGATGGTCGTAGAATGTTCTCTCCGATACCGCTTGCTGACGTATTTTGGATGTCCTTTCATATATTATGTGTAGTGTCAGTAATGAAATGCTTTGTGTTCTCTTTCAATGACGTTATCATGTGCAGTGGTGTCTGTGTCGACCAGAGGATGGTTGATGATCATCCGTCACTGTGAATTTGTCGTCTTGGCGTGGTTTCACATAACCTGTTGTGAGATGGATGAGATTTTATGGATTACTGGAAAGTATATTCCAAAACATCAGCATTACCAGCTGATACTCACTTTCAAATTATAATCCTAACACTTGCTTCGTAAAAGTCTGATGATTCCAGACTTCTGCATGCCTGAGCACTTCAACCTTTGCGGTGTCTCCAACATGTTATAAACTGCTTCTGTATGACAGGCTTATACCCTGGCGTTACCATAGTTGTGCAATGTTATAAAGTGCTTTTGTAAGGCATCTTTAGACCTTGGCGTTACCGGAGATCAGCAATGTTATAACATGTTTCTGTAGGGCAGCCTTATACCCTGGCGTTACCATAGTTGTGCAATGTTATAAATTGCTTCTGTAAGGCATCTTTAGACCTTGGCGTTACTGGAGATCCGCAATGGTATAACATGTTTCTGTAGGGCAGCCTTATACCCTGGCGTTACCATAGTTGTGCAATGTTTTAGTGCTTCTGTAAGGCAGCTTTAGACCTTGGCGTTACCGGAGATCAGCAATGGTATAAAATGCTCCTGTATGACAGTCTTATACCCTGGCGTTACTGGAGTTTTGCAATGTTATAAAATGCATCTGCAAGGCAGCCTTATACCCTGGCGTTACCGGAGATCAGCAATGTTATAAAATGCTCACGTATGACAGCCTTATACCCTGGCGTTACGGGAGTTCTTCAATGTTATAAAATGCTCCTGTATGACAGTCTTATACTCTGGCGTTACGTGAGTCCTGCAATGTTATAAAATGCATCTGTAAGGCAGCCTTATACCCTGGCGTTACCGGAGTTCTGCAATGTTGTAACATGGATAAATTCAGGGATTGTATATTGTGTACATACATTTATAACTAATTAATTTCGTTTTATTCTTATTTCAGGTGATCCGATAGACTACTTCTCTATTACATCATATATATAAGTTGCAATTAGTTGTCAGTCCAGCTGCATCCCTTGGCCTTAACTGTTCAGTTCTGTGTCACAGGGCTGGTTCATTGTGTATTAAAGGGTATGTGGATCGATCTATGTTTATGTCATTGTCTTCAGTTGTTTTAACAAAAGCCCAGACTCAGATTCTCAGTTAGTTTAAGTTCAAATATACTTCTCACCGCCATGTTACTACTAATCAGATGCACCACACTGTCTGTCAAGAGGCCTGTTTAGACGTTTGCGTTTTAGTCTAAGGTTAGGAATTATAATTTATAATATGTATATAGCTAACTAAATTCTAATATAAATAATTGTATAACATAGGCATAAATATGTTGGGGCGCCACCTAGCGGTCGTAGAGGCAAGTCGCATGGTTTGAGGGCTCCGCAAACATATACCCGAAACACGGCAACCTCCCAAAACCCCTATATCCGATAACCCCTACAGCTTATAACAACAAAGCTCATGGTTCGCTGCACTGCTTATCTCCTGCCTGTTACCTATTTTGTACAATGGACCAGCCCAAACACTTAGCAATTGAGAGAATGAGCAATAACCAAGCTTAGAGTTTGAGAGAATGGTTTTAATGGATGATAACAAAAATATTTTAACAAAAGTCCAATAATATTGAGGTCTAATTAACTTCATTAAATATCATAATGTCATAACATATTAAATGTTTTTTTATGTTTCATTTTTCTACATATTATCTGTCAACCTTAAGCAAATTGGTTTTGCTATGTTCCAGCCTCACAAACCCATTTTGTTTGACTTTTGACCCCACCCCCCAAAAAAACAAAACAAATAACAACAACAACAAAAACCGCTAATTCTGCAATAACTGCATCACAAACTCCAGGAAACGAAATATGCAAGAAACATTTTGTGTGTTTGAGATCAAACTTAGATATTAAAGTGCATAAAAAAAGCAATTTGAAACTACAGCCGCTTGTTAAAGTGATTACTCCCTTCATGTATACTGAAAGAGATTGTTTTGGAGACACTACCAACCCCAGTTCAGATGATGCAATCATGAGGACATAAATTATTCTCATGTTTCACTTATTCATACAAGGACACCCCCATTGTACCTGATGCCAAGGGTTCAAACTAAATACTGAATGGTCACACAAATGTCAGCTCGCAGTATATTATAAACAGTGCCAGCTTGAATATCTGAAATGGGGGTGTCCTTGAAAAACAGCCCGTCTAAATTTAAATCAAACAATCCAAACCTTTGAATGGTGATTTTGACGGGTAGTCATCCAATACTATGCTTAACATATCTTATATGATACCATTATCCAAGAGGTACCAAGTGACAGATCGTTTAAAGATATGCTATACCCCAGTGTGGTGTGATATGTGAAATTTTGAATATGATTTTGCTAATAATTTCTTCAAAATATAATGGAAGCTTTTCAAACAAGGGGCATTGCGAATATAGTTAGGCTGACTGCTTTTTGAACTCAGTCTTTATCTCAGTTTACTATCTACAACACTGTTACAACTGATATTATTACGATTTGTAGAATGTGTCTACTCACTATGTATATAAGGAAGCTAAAAAAACAAGTTCAACATTTAATTCATCTCAATTATTTACAATGTATTATTGAAACCCTACCAATAACAGTGCAATCTTATTCCCTTCTCATCTGTATACTCTGTGCAGCTTAGTCTCACGCTGTGTACTGCACCCTGTAATCTCTCCTTTGGGTCAGTTCATTATGCCAGACAGGTAAACGCCGTGTGTTGTTTTAACTAATTGTAGGGGTACTGGGCTGTTGGGGTTGTGGGATGTAGGGGTTTTGGGAGACAACCCGAAACACCGTTTATCTAACGAAGGGGAACGTCAATAAACACCTAAAGTGACTTGAAAAGACGGCAACATGAGATCTGATAATAATCTCCACAGATTACAAATTGGACGGTTTCATGGGATTTTTATAGGAAAGATTTCCGTCCGTATCCCCCTTAAATTCTAGTCAAATCATATCACCTGAATATATACTAGGCACATTAAGAAACTGTGCATACAAAAATTTAAAATCTAAATTTATCAAACCTGTGTAGACACATAAGAATTAAACTCAGAGATTAGTGACATGTATCCAACATGCATGCACATGCCATGTTCCATGACACCAGTGGATTCGTCCTCGAGACGTGCAATACGTTGTTGCACGTGCATTCCAGGAAAGAGAAACAGAGCAAATGAATGCCACACAATGCTGTCATTTTGGAAAGCTCAACCCCTGCCCTTGCGATCGTTCAAAAATTAGACGGCTATTGAAACGCATAGCATGCCAAGGCTCACGTCTGCGCAACGTCATGAGGTCATTGGGATGGTCCGTGGGGGAATGTCTCAACGACAAGTGGCTGCACATTTCCACTGCCACCGGAACACCATTTCTGCACTGGTGAGACGCTACCAGAACACAAATGACGTCATCGTTTTGCCACGTTCTGGACGTCCACGTGTAAGAACGCCAAGACAGGACATATGGATGAG